ACTCAAGAAATTGCCATCGATAACGCCAGTTGTGGTATAACGTTTAGTGCTCCACACCTGTTCCGTTGTGGCTGGATTCTGTTGTATTTGTGCAGTGCGTTCGCTCATTAATCGCTTCATTTCGTTTAATCGTGCACGCAACACTTCCACAGATTCATTATCCAAGTCATCTGAAAAAGTATTTTAACTGTAAATAAAATCTTACATCTCAAAATAAATTCACCCTACCTCCTGTGTCAGGTACGCTTTGGTATTCCGACATTTTATTTTACAGATAGTTTGGTTTTTTAAATTTAAGAAAACTTATACTTTTACCGAAATTTAAATAGTTTGAAAATACTTTAATTTACTGCAGCGTTTAAGAGGTCCTCTGCACTTTTATATAAAAAAAAAAGAAAATGGTTAAAAATGTATCGTGCGATGCTGAGAAACTGTAGGTGAATGTTGATTTGTTACGCCTAAGAGTATGCAACAGCATTCATTGCGCAGGCGACAAATCAATACATTTTTCTATCAGCGTTGTCTGCTGGTGACTACCCAAGTATTCATAGAGGAAGTGTAATGTAAAGGAAATAAAAAGAAACGCGATTAAACGCATCCGTTTTTTGATATGATTTGCAGACAATTTGTCGATAAGCTAATATTTTTTGATAATCATCACAAATTATCTGGTTTCTTGCTAGAATTCTAGCTGGTTTTTAGCAGCAATTTACCAGTAAGAAAAAACGCGAATCAAACTTCTAGGGCTGCAATTTATAGAAATAATGAAACCAAGATACAATGAATTTCGATTGAAACTTTTGTATCATGAATGAAAATAGTTTTCGATGATTTTGAAAGGGGTCTTCATATGTGATAAATTGCTTAAATTTATCAGTTTCTCCGCATTCTTTCATGATGTTTTCGTGAAATTGCATAAAATTGTTTATTGTTTAAGTTATCTGGCTAGTTACGTTTCATTCTTACCTCGTCCTTTTTGCTAATTTGCTTTTTATGTTTTCGTAGCAAAATCGACCACCTGGCAGTCTGTCAGGGTTGAATTTTGCTGAAATTTATACGTTTATCCACCAAAATCGTTTGATAAAGTAATAAACTTTGGTTAAATAGATATCCATACAAAGTTTGACAGTTCATTTATCAAAATGATAAATTTATCATTTTACCAAGTTTTCAACAGTTTATCACTTTTGATGAAGACCCCTTAAGTTCAAATTCAAATTACTTTAAGGCCCGTCCACACAAAACATTTACGGAAGTTGATGTTCAGCCTCATTGCGTAAGTCGAAAATTAGGCTAAATTCTACGACTCGATAACATTGCCATTGTCTACTGTCGTGCTGAAATAAGTAAAGCTGCCTTTACATGAGGCGATTTCCCAGGCGATTCAACATTGCTCTGGAAAAAGCGCTCGTGTAAGTGGTGATTCCAAAATCGCTTGCCTCAAAGTAGAGAGCAAGTCAACTTTTGTATGCGATTATCGCCTGTCAAAGAATGGACTCATGTAAAGGCAGCTTAAGGCTGACGACACATATTCAGTTTTGCCTTTCAATTTCTTCAAACACATTTCTTGTCAAAAATCATCAAAATTGAAAGCCATTACGTAGGCTGCATTCAATTTGAGAAGCAATTTCATTGTCAACATACCGTCTTCAATAAAGCAATGTAACTAACTAGCTTCTGAAGACCATTTCCTATTTTAATTCCATTGTAGATCAACATTTTAGCATGTAGAAGCTTAGTATTTTTTTTATTTTCACAAAATTGAAAGGCAATTGAAAGGGAAAAATTGAAAGCAAGCTGCCCATTCAAGTAATTAATAAGAGTGTGTCAGTGAAAAAGTGTGAGTGTATTGAAAATTGAAAGAGGAAAATTGAATGTGTAACGTCCTAGTAAACGACGATAATTGTCGAAAACTATACAGTGCTGCCAAGTTTTTCCGTTTTAATATACTAGTCGAGTCGAAATTTTAGGCAATGACATGAAATTTTCGATACGACTCGACTCTCGAAAACGACTTGCATTCGACACGACTCTCGGAATGAGGCTGGTTGTCTCTTCTATAGATTTATCTAACTTATATACACTGGTAACAAAAGCAGAAACATTTTTGCGGAAATTGGTCTCGCTAGGTGGCGCAAAAGTCGAAATATTTTGAAAAGCCGTATTTAGTATGCTCTGATTTGTTTTAAATTTAGAATATTTAGTTGGAACATAGTGAGGCCTAATTTTGCAAAAAAGTGGAAGGAAAAAAGACAAATAATACATATATGTACATTAGACCACGTCAAAAAAAAATAAAAATAATGCAATGCGACCGGAATAAGACTAAAATTTTAGCATTTGGTATAGTAATGATCCTCCACGAATCTCACCTCTCTAGGACAATTGTAAGAGTTTCCGCCGCGAGCCTTAGTTTTCCCATAGGAATTAAACGTAAGTAAATGAGTTCCTTCCGTTTGAGGTCAATATAATTTTCTAGGATCAATGAAAACGCTCGAAACTGTAAGAATACATTGACTTCATGCCATTTAAATTTATAAAGTATCCCTTTTTAATCCCTTGTCCTATTTGGGTAAAATCTAGTGTACTGTATTCATATGGTGACCATTCGTCCTGTATTATACGGGACAGTCTTCTTTTCTCGTCCTTGGTCCTGGTAATTTATTTATTTCCTACGGGACGGCAAATGTCCTGTATTTCTTTTAATGTCCCGTATTCGGTATTTTGGCGCCTTAACAGCACATAAAAACGACATGACTATGAACTAGTTTTTATTTTTAAGTCTAGACGCTTGCGATACGAATCAAGGTGCACATACATATGTAGATGGTTTCTGAAGTTATAATTTTTGCAAAGAAAAACTGGATATTTGTGGTATGAATCGAAAATAGACGTTAATGATTATTCGCATTTTCGATGTTGGTGTTTCCGAAAGGGTAGGAGTGTGATGTAATGTGGAACGATTTTCCGTCATCCTTTGTCAAATTTGGTTTGGAGACAAACCGGTTTCGGCGTTGTGACATCTTCAGTGTCATTTTTTGTTCTGAATAGTTTCTGTTTGTCTGTCACGGCTATAAATACCGTGTTAAATCGTCGTTGGTTCATAGTTAGGTACATCTCAGCGGATTATATTCTTTCGTTCAACAAGTAGTTTCAGTTCTGTGTGTACATCCACAGGTAGAAATTAGCTGCTCACCTCTTTTTTGATTAATTGTTGCAATGATTCGCAGGGAGGTAAAAATCAGTTATTTTCTTTCTCTTTGTTTCTGTAGTTTGGACCTGCATTTCATTGTTTATGGTTGTTCACATAACGGTTGTTTGTAACAGGCAAAACGAATGGAAATAGATATAGACAAATGTATACATAAATGATCAGAATGAAAAGAGAAATCGATAAGCGGTGACTGTCTGTCCGTCCGTCTGTGCACACGATAACTCGAGTACAAATTGAGATATCTTAACGAAACTTGGTATGTGTACTTCTTTTGACCGTAGGACGGATGGTATTGAAAATAGGCAAAATCGGACGATAACCACGCCTACCTCCCATGCAACGGTAGTTTTCAGAAATACGCCCACTTATGATTACATGTGTATACCTTGGGCACCGCTCCGCCAATTTCTCCCAAACACAGACATAGTGTTGGCCTTCACAAAACATACCAAACGGCTGAAAATTAAAAAAATCGGATAATAACCATGCCCACATCCCATATAACGGTAATTTAGAGAAATATGAAGGCTTCGATAAATCAGTAAATACTGGAGCTAATTTATTCAAGATTGATGTTTGCAATACTTCTTTAGCAAAATATACGCTTATAATAAAATGTTGGAGAATGGGCGTGACCCCGCCCAGTTATGATTACATATGTGTATCTCGGTAACCGTTCGACCAATGTGTAGCATCTCGAGACGATTATTGTGGTTGCCACATAAAGGCAAAACGTTGAAAGTTATCGAAATCGGACTAAAATTACGCCCACTTTTTCATAACGGTAAATTTCAGAAATGCTTGAAACTTCCATATTTCGAAATTTAAGGAAGCTAATTTTACCTAAACAATCCCTTGAAAAGAAGTAACATTATTATTGAATTTTGGAAAATGGGCTTGACGCCGCTGACATATATCTATATAAGTTTATCTCATTATATCTTAGTGAACGTTCTATTGAAGATGTTTTAAATAGGGGTAACCCCACCCCTGCTTACCATGTAGCGGTAGTTTTCGGAAAGGTGAAAAACTATATTGAATACTTGCGCCGGGTATTTAATGTTCGGCTCCGCTGGAACTTAGACTTTTTTACTTGTTAAGAAATAATTTAGGTGAGTAAATTAAATAAAAATGTAAATAAAAAATGTAAGGGTTAGTAATTTTTAATAATGTTTTTTTTAGTACTTGAATTTAAAAAATTGGAACATTGTATCCAATAAAAAGTTTTTAAAGGGTCGTAAATCAAGGCCACTAAATAACTGCACGCTCGAGGCGACAAACTTGGAAAAACTTGAAACTTGACAAAATTGTAAATTCTTTTCGATTGGCGCTGCACGAGTCGAGAGGACTTTCGTTATATTTATTGTTTTTTTTTATTGCAGATTCTTTTTTGAGAATTGCATCGGGCTGCAAATGTCGGATGTATCCTCCGGACTTTCATCTTCACAATCTAGTATCGTTGTTTAAATACCGTTGTTTTCCAAAGAATTCTTCATTCTCATTCTTTTGGTTGTTTCTGAATTTGGAGAACCTGTTACGTCAAAAGCGTCTTTCGATCTTAGTTTTTGTAATTCATTTTTAATCCTTTCTTCTGAGACTGGCCAGATATCAGTGCACTTGCACGATATTCCAGGGACCGAAAATAACAGTTATTTTTTACCAGTTAAACTTGGCCTAATATTTTTTATTCCGAAATAAGTTTTTTCTGGATAATAAACAAACAGCTTATCAAAATTAACCAAATTTCATATCATGTGAAAGAGGACTTAAATAGCTTTTAAACAGAAATAACGAACGAAGGTTACCACCTCTATTTATATTGTTTTTATATCATTTAATACTAAAGAAATTCAAATACCTGACCCAAGGTTTGTTTTATGGTAATTAATTAACATTTTTTATTGAAATATTTGTCAATAGGTGGCTTTGCTCGTTTAGACATTTCAGTTTTAAAGCTATTTAAGTCCTTTTTCATTTGATACCAAACTTGTTTAATTTGGATAAGCGGTTTGATTATATATATGATTTATGTTAAAATTAATGCGGAAGCTCCGCGGTTGCGAATGCGAATGCGAATATTCGCAACAACCCTAGTAGGTATGTATCGCAATATCAGACACAAGAGATTCGTTTATTTCTTTATTATATTTAGGATGATTGCCAGCTGTTTCAGAAGTCTTAGCTAACTTACGCACAAATCCGAAGACGAAGGTAATGCGAAACACGAAGAAGAATACTAATACGAAGATCTGGGCTAATATATAAAGTAATACAAATCTCTGCAGTATGAAAGAAAATACAAATGAATCGAGGCATCTTCTCTATTGCTAATAATTAATATTTTGCAATTCATTTTGATTTATTTAATTCAATTCAATATAATCAAAACGAATATTTCATATACCGTTTTTGACTTGAATGTGATCTTAATAATATCACGTATTCTACGTTTGAGTTTAGCGGCTGCGGTTCCGACACAGCCTGCAGGTCAAGACGAAGGCGATAGACTGATCCTTTTTTTTACTTTTACTATTTAAACATTAAACAAAATGCTTAAATGTACATATAAAAAAATACGAAAGTTGTTGGTTTTTGCTGGTGTAGTTTTTGACTCGCATTTTATTTAGTTATTTAAAGTGTAAGTATTGTATACGTAAAACTATCTAGACACACACATTTTTTTCGTACTTAGCGCCATAAATACAGGTGTTTTTATTTCATTGTATGTTCATTTTATATGTATGTATGTAGTATATATAGGGATTTATTCTTGCAATAATTGTTGCGTTGTTTGATGTGCTCGTCCTTGTATAAATTTAAGCTAATGAATTTATTTAATTTATTATATAATAAGCATAAATATAAAATTTAAATATACTTGCGCATAACACAGCTATAAGTTTAGGAAATCGTCAACAAACAATTCTAGAGCCGGACATAAAAAACGAAACGAAGCAACAAGTAGCGATTAACTGTAAGTTGAAATTATTTCCTTGTCTCACTACTTTTTGGACACATAATCACATTTTGCTCTTGCGACAAATCAATAATAAACCTTAACAACAGATTGAGACAAATTTTTAAAGGTATCTAGTTTCTTGCAAACTGTATTTGTAAAGTGCTACTATTAAAAAATATGCGCAGTGTTTTATTAGTGTGTACAGTATTCATTATTATATAATTATGTTTATTTAAGCAAGCCGAATAGTACAATTAGTTTGTGTGAGTGGAACAAAATCAATAGTTGCATTACGCGTGTGATGTGGGCGTTGTTGCTTAATTACCTTCACTACGGTGTTCTTAAAGGCTAAATAGTTAGCAAACGGTTTGATAATAGTGTTTTTTTTTTTGCAATCGAGCGTTGAAAATTTGAAGTTTTCAGCTGATATGACAATTACTATGATGTTAGATTTGTATACAGTCGGTGTCAAATATAAGCGTACACGTTGTGGTAACATAAAATTCACAATTATTTGCATGACAAATTTATTTCAAACAATTTTCATCAAAATTTTCGAGTATACAGTTTTGTAGCCCATTCAATTTTAGTACAACAAAGTGCGAGTTTCAAGTCGCTAGAAATTACCGTTGATTTTTTAGAATTCTTTTTTGTGGAGGGTGTTGGGCATTTTCTTCCATATAAAAATAGATTTTGATCACGCCTTACATGGAAGAAAACGCGCGACACCCTCCACAATAAAAATTCGAAAAAGGTGTACACTTACATTTGACACCGAAGATACATATAAAATATCGTTTACAAACCAGTACCATTATAGTGCATTTAATGAAAGACTAAATCACTTAAAAGTACATGTATGTATATGTGTGTTAATTAATAATATTTCCGTTTATAAATTACTATCTATAAAAATGTATATATGTATGTAGGTATTTATATCAAACGGTTTCTTTAATCACATCGATACAAATTCTCAATCAAATTCAATTCCATGTTGCAATCCATTGCTTTCAATCATTCAAATTTTTCGGGACACACTACTTAAAACTGATTAGCGAGCACATTTTTTTACAAAAAAATACTTTAATTGGTTAACTAAAAATGTGTTGCAAAGATTTTTTTTTTTTTTTGTTTAACAGACCTATTACATATATGTATACTTAAGTGCGCAGAACTTCGGACATTCAATAGTATTGTTTTCGTAGAATACGCTTGTATGTAGCACAATAATTCTTAAAGGGAGAGCGTGTAAAAGTATGAAAGCAGCTTCTCCTTGGACCAATTGTTTACGATGCATGTTGGTACGTCGGTATGTTGGTGGGTAAGTACTCAAGGAAATTCGCCGGAAATTGACCTTCCCGACCATCAACTTCGCCATAAAGCCAGTCCTCATTGATTTTATAGAGTATGGTTACCAATTCATTTTCCTGAAAAAAAAATAAATTAAGAGTAATTAGAGGTATTTTCTTGAAAATGCATAATTTATAACTATAATTATTGAAACAATTCATAAAACAGATGCATAATATAAAAATATGCTGGAAAAATATTTCTTATGTGTACATATGTATAAAGAAAATCTCCATATCCAATCTGCATTAACGAAAAGGTGTGTCTCGATTTAGAGGTTACGAGGATATTCTTCTTTATAAGTCTGCGGGACCATAAAATACGTGCACGTGTTCTAGCATGAAATGGAAACAAATGTTCGTGTTTGACGCTTCAGTGTGGATGCCATGCTTAGATTTTGTAGTTGTAATTTTTAGAGTTTACCAAAACGCTTACTGGGCGTGAAGCGATTGGGGAAAGATGCAGCGTTTGAAAGAAAAAATCCCAAATTTATAAGTGATAAATTCGTTTTCTATCGCAGAAACAACGGTCATTTTTTAGAGTTTAAAGTGCTTAGGGTTTATTTATTTATTTCAACCTTAGAAACAGAATTTCTTACAGACTATAATAAAATTTAGATTAGTAAACAGTTTGAATAAATTTAAATTAAAACAATAAGGGTTTGTTGCAAAGACGAATAACTCTCGCTATCGTATTGTTGTACGAGTATAGCGACTTATGCGAACCTTCAACGAACATTTTTGGATTCCTGAGATTAATATTAGATTCCTGAATTTGAAAAAGATTAGATATCTCTGGGCAGACAATGATGCCAGATAGAATATGGTATGCATATATCAGCGACAAATACGACCTCCTGTCAGCTAAAGATTGGAGGCCAAGGAGTTTCCTCCTTGAGGCATATTCTGGAATATCGTGGCCGTTGAACAATTTCTTCACAGCAAATCAGGTGAATTTCCTTTGGACTTTCTCTATTCTGTCAGAGTGGTTTGCATAGTATGGGTTCCATATTATCGCCCCATATTCTACAATACTCCGAACCAGAGCGATATAAAGTGCTTTAAGAGCAGAGCTAGGTAATTTTTGATTACGATTACATTTTAATTACGATTGCTTAATTGAAATACCTAAATTTGATACGACTAGTCGGCCTCGTATGCGCGAGGCTTCGCCACGCGCTGAATGTGTAGATATTAAATAAGATGCGATTGACAACTAAACAGGTTGCAACCCTATCAAAAAATAACAAATAATTGTGCATCTGGAGGCCAAGCCCTTTCATTTGAACAGTGCGGATGTAATAATTTAGACATGTGGCAACCTTATAGGAAGAAATACCAAAGATAATATTCTTTCGATACAGATTGTACTTATTGAGATTAGCATAGTCAAAATATCTCGACTTTGCTTTATACTATGTATAGAAGATAGTAATTTTTAAATAGTTGGCAACCGTATTCAAATAATTAAAGCTTTTGTACATGCGAGGGCCAGGCTCTTTCACTAGGTACATATATCATTTTGCAATCCAACGAACGGCGAAAATCTTTTAACTTTTTAATAGGTGGCAACTCAGAAAAACTACTCAGAAAAATAATACATTATTGCACATGTAGAGGCTAAGTTTTTTTATTTGACAGTGAGAGTACAAAACCGATGCCTACGCTTATTATGATTGAATATAGTAACTTTATTAACAAAAAGCATTAGTGCTTTTCTAGAGGCCAATTCCCTTCATTTGACACCTCATCTTTTGTAATCCAACGAACGGCGCGGATCTTAAAGTTTTTTAGACAGGTGGCAACCCTATTAAAATTTGGAAGTAAAAAAGGTCACTCTCCTATAGTAATCTTAAAATTTTTAGGACTAGGATTACTAGTAAGTGATTTTCACTGCTGTGTGATCGGTATGTAAACCGGTAACAAAATTTAATGGCTTTTTCTTCCTACATAAAAGAGATATATCGCAAAAACTTGTATCTGTGAACAATCACTGGTATAAGAGATAAAGCTTATACAGCTTAGATTTTGACGATTTTCTCAGTAGATTTTATAAAATAGCTTACGAAAATTATCGGATTCGGCTGTCCAAATAAAGGAGTTTTACAGTAAACCCCCATATCTGAACAATCAGTTGTATGGAGGCAATAAATAGGTTATAGTGACCCGATCTTTGTTAATTTTACTGTAAACTTTCTGTTGATAATGGGTGAAAGTAGTGCGAAATTACATATTTCTAGCTGCATATATGGAGAAGTTATAACAAAGAATCTCATATCTGAACGATCAGTTGTATGGGAGCTATAGGTTATTGTGACCCGATCTTTGTAATTTTCGCTCTAAGTCTTCTGTTGATAATGGATGGAAGTATTGGAAAATGCCATATTCCCAGCTGCATAAATGGAGAAGTTATAACGAAAAATCTCATATCTGAACAATCAGTTACATGGGAGCTATATGTTATAGTGGTCCGATTCTTCCGGTTCAGACAGATGATTAATTCATTATAAAAATACACCCACCTATCACATTTCATCGGGGTATCTCGAAAACTGAGAGACTAGATCATTTAAGTATACATTTTAATGGGTATATATATCTCTTCTTATTCTGGTACTTACAAGCATCGGACCAAAGTTATAATTCCATTTCATGCTCATGAAAGGTATGAAAAGTACGATTACGATTACAGTACTCGTAATTGGTAAATTTTAAGGATAACAATTAAAGTATTCGCAATGAAGCATGTTATAATTTCAATTACAGTAATTGTAATTCGGAAAGTTTGCGGGATTACAATCACGGTTGCCGTTTTGGTCCAAATGGACCAAATTTGTTCCAATTCTTTTTAAAATGGTCCATTTCACAAGCCTTTGGTTAGGTATCTATCCCCTTCACCTCATGCAATAAAGTTTGCGTTTTCAATTTTTTCTATTTAATTGATGAATATTCCGCCCTATGTTGAATATCGTCGTCGTCAGTAAATGTGACGATACGGCCATCGTCTGCCATGTTACTGATCCGCTGACGATCTTCGACGATGACGATGACGATATTTAGCATAGGGCCGATTGGCAGCACCTGCTAAAAGTGTGAACTCGCCTTGCCACTGATCTTCAAATATGACATGGCTAATTATCTATCACAGCGCGCTTCAAAAAATATCGCAGTTTCTTGCTAATTTCAATTACTCGGTGACCCATATTAAAGTGGCTGGCAAAAATATGGAAAGGTAGCAAAACTTTAATCATAGCATTTAGTACATGAAAATAATATTCGATTTCAATCGAAGATATTTAACAACTTAAAATTATTACACCACATAAAGTTCTTTCTGATACTGATGTATCAATTTTGCCCCTACTCGACAAATTTTCCTGCATTGGTAACTGATGAAGACATAATTGAATTTCAATTTCTCAAATTGAGGCTGAGTGAAGGTAACTTCAAAAACTGTACCAATATAGAACGTTTTTGAGATCAAGTAAGTTTGATTAAAAATGGATTGGGTGAAGCGGCCTTTGGAGAATTGTGTGATTTAGTTCATAACATTTTTAGTCTGCCTCACAGTTCCGCAGTAGCTGAGCGCAAATTTTTGATTCAGCATGAATAAAAACGAAATTAAGAAACAAATTAAAACTTCCACAAAATTATTTATAACTCAACACAATTTTCCGATGCAATAAATATTGGTCCATTTTTTGGTCAGAAAAAAATTGGAAATGGCAACCGCGATTAAAATTACAGCAAACATATTCAACCTATTTTAGAATTTTGTGAAAAAACGGCAATTTACATTTTTGGTAGAAGTTATAGCTTTTTCGGAGATCACCACATCTCTTCATCAGACTTTTTCAACTGGGATTCGATCCAACGACCCCAGCCGCCATAGGCAGCAGTCTACCCACTGAGCTAAGTTCATGAAAATTTCAATGCATTATTTCCGAGGAAATAGTGCTAATGATTTTTTTTGCATTAGTATTAAAATTTGTTATTGCAATAATTTATTGCATTAGAAGTATAACAAGCATTAAAAACCCATTAGCTAACTTTATTTTGAAGTAAAAATTTTTTGCTGACGTTGACAGTAAAATTTTGAGGTCAAAAAAGAAGGTGGTGTAAGTAAAGGCTGGTTTTCTTATTTATACATCACTAAAAAAAATGTATGGTTTTAATAATGCAAACGAGCAAAATTACTAAAAACTTTAATGCATTAAAATTCATTCATTCGCATTAGTTTGGATAATTTAATGAAAATAAATTTCATTAGCATTATATTTTTCAGAACTAATGCATTGAAATTTTTATTTGCATTAAATTGCAAAAATTAATGTACATATTAATTTTATACATTAGCATTATTGCTTAAAGTAATAGAATAGAAAGAGATAAAGACAAATTAGAAAACGAAGAGGATATTGTTTACATTCGATTGTTTCGATAGTGCGAGTGCAAAATATTCGATACCATCGAAAGCTTTCTTACATAAATATGTTGAGATATAACACTAATGAACGATTTCACCAATCAATTTTAAAATGTATCAAAGTTAAAATTTAAAATAGCACAATCTCCTAAAAAATGTAATTTTAAATTACTATAAATGGCTGTGGTGTAGTGGTAAGCAGTGCGCGCTTTCACTCATCAGCACCTGGGTTCAAATCCTGGTCAAAGCAACATCGCAAAAAATATAGAAAAAGGTTTTTTTTTTAACCGCGGTCATCCCTCGGCAGGCAATGGCAAGCCTCCGAGTGTATTTCTGCCATGAAAAACAGCTTCTCATAAAAATACAATCGCCGTTCGGAGTCGGCGTAAAACTGTAGGTCCCTCCGCTTTGTGTGACAACAGCAAGGCGCACGCCACAAGTCGGAGGAGAAGCTCGGCCAAACACTAACATATGTGTAAGCGTCAATCTATTATTATTATTTATAAATGGCCTGACAAATTTAAAATTGATTGGTGAAACTGGGCATAACATTTTGTAAATAGGCAAATTTGATTCCATTTTTTATGGTTGAAGAAAAATTTTACAAGCCATATGGCAAACCCCATTGCCTGTAAATTTGTTCGCTTCTTCTTTTACTATATAAGATAACAACGTCCAGGAAGAAAACTTATTCTTAAAAAAACCCATTTCGTAACTACAAAAACCATAAAGATTGTTTGTATACACAAAAATAACTTATGTGAAACAAAATGAGATCGTGTATTTCAATAACACATTTTATAACAAAAACCATAAAGTACATGCTTACAAACAAAGGGGTTCACAACGTATGTACATACATATGTTGGCATGTGCATCTTTTATAGTTCAATTACAACAACGTCAACAACATACAACTGTTTAGAAAAATTCGATAATGGCAGAAAAATGAAACCAACGATACTATCGATAACTCCATCACTACTATGAAGGCGAAGGGGTTAAAAATTAAGATAAAGATAAAGATAGGGAAAAGGGTACGAAGGCGCTGGACCACAATATAACCAGTAATAAACCTTGGATGAATTGGTATTTGGACTGCCTTCCTCGGGGTTGAATATGCCAGGGATGAAATTAATGGTACGTCCGCTTTCTAAGCATGTACGGTTGCTTTTGAGAGACAAAAAATAATTAACACAAAATAGTTTTAAAAACTAAAGTGTAAAACGATATTTATTGAATAATTCCACATAAAATGGTATACCTAAATGACTCATTTTACAAACAATTTAAAGAAAACGTATTTCATAACCTTTTTTGTGCAAAAATTTCACAGCAAGAATCACACCTACCTGCCGGTTTTGAAGTATTTTTTGTCGTCTAATAAATGCATGACTTTCAGTTCTGGAAAAATCAAAGTCACTAAAGACAAGTATATTTTATATAATTGCGACGGTGGGGTGCAATAAGGCCATACGCAATAAAGCCATATTGGAAATAAAGCCTTATTTTTTTGGTAATAAGGCCATAAATTCGATATGGCTTTATTTCCAATTACAATTGGTAATTAGTCCATATGGCTTTATTTCGCTTTCAAATTTTTATGTTTCTTTTATTTGAACAATGGAAAAAGTTCGCAACAAAACTACTAAACCGCCTTGAACTACAACGTCACCTTAAACATGCAATTACTCTCCTTCGCGTCCAGCCATGCCGCGCTCCTCCGTTCACGCGCCGCGCGCGCTGCGCCGGCCCCCGCGCTCCGCCCTTCACACGCGGCGCGGTGCGGGGAGCCAGCAAATGTGCACCCGCCAGGTTATGCACTCGCAAAATTAAAACTTACCTAAGTACATATATTTATTTTTCAATATCCAATAAATCCGGAAATATTAAATAATGATTTATTTCATTTTATTAGTAATAATTTGTATAAATTTAAATAATTCAGTATCAGTTTCAAGAGTGTGTCCAAGGCGAATTTAATAATGAATTACAACAAACACATCATTTGGACGTAATGTTCAGATAAAATTCAGATTCGCCGTTAACACCGCCTTGAGAGTGTAATTTCAGAATATGGCCTTATTTCTCATTTGCAAAATTTTTTGTATGGCTTTATTTCTCTTTCTGATTGGAAATAAAGCCATATGGCTTTATTGCCTAAAATATGGCTTTATTGCCATATGGCTTTATTGCGTATGGCCTTATTGCACCCCACCAATTGCGACATTTTAATTGTTCAATTACTTTTTTTGCTTGCACCAGAGCAACTCTCAAAAATTTCCAACAGTAAAAAGATACGAATTGGCACAGAAGATATATAAAATATTCTCTCCATGATAAGTTTTGGAAAACAAGGAAATTCGATGAGTAAGATAGCAGATATGGTGGACTGTTCCAAAAACAAGGTGTTCACTGCCCTTCATAGCGTAAAAAAAAACCAGAAACACGACTAAGAAAACGAAAAATGACTGCTGACGATCAAAGGCATTTAATTCGACATTGCAAAGCTAACCCTTTTCTGTCCTCAAGAGAGCTGAAAACAGAATTGAATTTAGATGTAACAAGCCGAACTATTAGGTACAGATTGGCAGAAGCCAAACTTCCAGCCAGAATTCCTAGAAAGGTACTGTTGCTGAGCCTTAAAAACAAAAACAACCGACTTACTTTTGCCAGAGAACATCTTTCAAAATTGGAAAAATGTGCTGTAGTCTGAAGAGACAAAAATTAATATATTTGGATCAGATGGAAAACGTACGTAAGTGCGTAAAACGTCCTACGAATATAGCCTTTCATCCACAATACACGAAAAAGACAGTTAATCCATTATGGTATGGGGCTGCTTCCCGGAGGAAGGCGTTGGTCCAATATTTTGGATAAAGAACAAAATGTGCGCGGTTGACTATGTAAACATATTACAGACGATAAGGCTTCCCTATAATAAAGAGGAAATGCCATTGCGGTGGGAGTTACTGGGGGATAATGATTCTAAATATGCATCGAAACTGGTGAAGTAGTGGTTTAAAAAGGAAAACGTGGAAGTTATGGAGTGGCCGTCTCAATTGCCAGACCTCAACCCCATTGAACATCTTGGGGCAGACTTAAAGAACAGAGTCGGGCCTTTAAAGCCAGAAATAAAGACGAATTGCGACTTCACATTCTAAAATCGTGGTATACCATTCCGAAAAGTGTTTGTGCAAACTTGGTTAATTCGATGCACGGAATATGCGAAGAGCTAATCATGCAAGGCGGCGGTTCAATAAGCTATTGAAACAAAAATATTTTTGTAAGCATTTTTGGGTCAGCGTTTAATTTATTAAGAAATGATTATAATTATATTATTTTTTCCAACACTGTATGTATCGGGCAAACAAAATGACATATGGTAGGCAATAATTTCCGCCTGTGGAGGCGCGTCGTTAGCTAGCCTTTCAATGTTGTAAAGGGTGAAATATTATTGATTAAGGCTAAAAGGCGGTTACACTGTTCAAATTTCAGGCGATTAGTTGAGTCAAAAGTTTACCTCATTTAACTGAAATTTGAACAATGTAAACGTCTACTAAACACAATGAATGTGTACGATTAGAAAATAATAATATTCTGAACGAAACTTTTTTTTAAATTTCATTACTCCTATAAAACTTGAAAAGGAGGACATTTTTGCTCAAAAGGACAAATCGCGTTTGAGGAGGACAATCCTCCTCAAAGGAGGACGGTTGGTCAGTATTAGTGAATATAGCTACAACAACAACGAATACTACAACAACCCAAAAAGGTTTGCTACTGTCTATACTGTTAGCTGGACTAATCTTATTTTTAATTCATGAATGATTTATAAATCTTCTGATTGTGTTTGAGTCCATAATCAGCAAACTCATTCCCCACCTTTACAACCTTCCGATATATAATTTGTTAATTTAAGGAACATAATATTTTTGAAATCAGGAATTTTAACATTGGTCATGTAAAAGAAATGCCCTTTGAATTTGACATCTAAGTAAGAAACGAATTTGAAGAGCATGGTTTCCATTAAACATTTTTTTAATCGACAGCCATGTTAACTGCGGTAAAAAACTTAGCTTAATTACATTGCGACAGGGTTGTTGTAGCCGCTACAACAACATCGGCATACCTTGAAATTATCAAGTGGGATTGTTTAACTACCCAACCCGACTAAGACGTTTTAGTGTGAGATACTTCTGGCCCAGCTAGAAGTTATAGCGCCATTAACTTTTCGATTTATTAGTGTACGAGAATTCTAGCCCTACTAATAAACCCATTTTCTTAGCTAAATAATAAAATTTTGTCGGTGCATATGAAGAAACGCATGCGTTGAAAACCTTGGCGAAGATAGGCACGTAAACGTAGTTGACGGCGAGGAAGACGGGCAAATATAATTGACGGGGAAAGTCAGTTAACTAAAGCGATTCCAGCTCTCATGCTTTAGTCTCGCAAATGTCTAGGCGTCTTATTTATTTTACGCGTCCCTTTTCGCCGTAAAAATAATAGCGCGTTTTTCTTCGTATGCACCGCCGATATATGCGAACAACTCCTCTTCATTTGCTTACCTTCAAAGCCAAGTCACCATCGCATTCAGCTGGGAAATTGTAAAGACATCGTACGCGTAACGGTTTGCTTATTTGTTGTTGGCTACCAGGAGCCATCATCGACGCCACCTCATCCAATGGCACTTTTACATCAATATAGTTTACTGGAAAGATACCTTCACAGCCAGAGCGCGTACGACCACGATACCATTCGGCGCTCATCTGTTCTAGTAAGTAGATTTTCTCATTTTCCTATAAATAAAAAAACCAAATACATACGTTTATTAATAAAAATTAGTAATTTTGAGTAATTTCTTCGTACGCACCCTAAAATTAAGATCACCCTCTTCGACACCTTCGAAGTCGTACAAAGCCACGCCATATGGTCTCGTTTCCTCCATACCGCTGCCAAAGCATGAACCACCACCTCCCAGCTGCAGTGCATCCGCTTTCCCCGATATTACGTCCAGTAATGAAACGCTTATTGGTGGCGGTGGTGGCGCACACAGCGGCATGGGTGGTGATGGCGGTGTTGGTGGCGTATCTTCCCCACCATACGCTAACTGCGGCTTCGGCAGCACTGGCGGCTTGGGCGCACGTGGCTTCTGCGATATTTTCGGTTTGATAATCGTTGGCACACTAAGAGTGGGCGTCGGCGGTAAAAGACTCTTGCCATTGCAAAGCGGATTGTCGTTGCTGGACTGGATGCGTGTGTTGATTGTGTTGAGATTGCGTACTGGCGCAGTGCCAATGGTACTCGTTGCGGCTGTGCTGGCGTAAATACTATCGGTAGCAGTGTTGAAACCGCTATCGAAAGCCTCCCATGGATCAAGGGGGCTCGTTGTGGCTGGACGGCTGCGCGCGCTGAAATCATCCTCGAAGCCACTCTCCGGTTGAGAGACACTGCCATTGTTGGGCGAACTGAAATTCGAATCGGAGCTGAAACTATCGACGCTGAGGCAATCACTATTCGATTTCTGTGTAAATGTTGGCGAACTTGGCGGCGAGTCGAAACTGATAAGCTGTGCTTCCGCTACACCGGACGCACTTGCGCTGCTATTGCCAACAGCCAAAGACGTAAGCGACGTCGATGTGTAACTGCTGTTCCAGTTCGCCTGCCAACTGTTGCCGCCGCTGCTGCCATTTACTGCAGTGGAAGTGACAGCAGCCCAGGCGTTTGTGTTACTGCTACTGCTGTTGGTTGTTGTTGTAACTGCGACATTGTTGGTGGCGTAGACACCACTGCTGACACCATATATTTTACTTGCTTTGTTATTGTTGTTGCTGCTGCTACTGTTGCTGTTTTTCTTGCTCCTGAATATGTTGCTTAACAATTTTGTTGAGTGCGTCGAAGGCGGCAGTGGAGCTTTGCGGCCATTCACCTGCACTTTGGGTGGCGGCGGACGTGGTGGTGGCACTTTCTTGCAATTACCATTTGTATTGGTGGCTGATGACGCATTAATGCGAAATGGATCATCATCCCAGTTTGTGGTGGGCGTGTAGCGTGCTTGTGGAAATTTGCGTGTTATCGCTGATTGGTTGCTGTTGTAGTTATTGTTGCTACTGATGCTGTTGTTACGACTGGCCATTGACATGGCAGAGGTGGGACCTTTTGGTGGTGGCGGTAGACTTATGGCTAACTTCTGGACGCCACCATTCTGTTGCTGCTGCAGCTGTTGCTGATGAAGTTGACGGCGCAGCTGCTCGATACTAGCATTGGCACCGGCAGCAGCACTTTGACCACGCGCCACTGGAGGCGCAGGTGCAGGACGTGATGGAATTGTCATACTACTACGACAGGAAGCAATTCACAAAACCAACGAAAGTGATTCCTTAAAAAGAAAACGCACAATTATGATCGCGATTAATACATATACCGAGTCAAAATAAACAAATACATACTAATGTGTACATACATACACGCAAATACAAATACATATATGTATTAGAGGGCTGCATGAATTCATTCAAAACGGCTTATGAATTATTCATATACAAAAGGAATGAATGATTTTAGCTTCAATTTTTTTTTTTTTTTAATTGGAGTGAATACCTGTTCTGATATACATATGTGTCCACATTACAAATATTCAAACAAAGTGAAAATAAATTGAATTGAAATGAATAACAATTTTTTGTATGAATATCCAAAAATATTTTTTCTATGCACATATGTACATGTATAGCTCCGCTCTTATTACAATACGAACAAACTTGTTTGTAAAAAAAACTTTTACCGAAATGAGTTTGAATGATTTGAATGTTTTCCATTCATTCATCCACATTCTTCCATTTGAAGGTAGAAAATTTAAAACAAAATGTATATTCATAACTTACAAAATTCCAAACTCTGAGTGTTTTGTATGTAAAGTATAATATTCAATTCTACTGCACTCTGTTTGGTTTGAAGTTTGTATGAATTCATGCAGCCCTCTAATATGCATGTATATGAATACAATACTTTATATAGATTTTCCATAAATGAACCCAATAAATATATCGCCCAAATCAATTCGCCGCAATTAAAACCCATTTTTTTTTACTATTGAACTGAATTAATTTTAATAATAATATAATTGTATAAGTTAACAATCGTTGTCGTAGCGCTCAGAGAAATTTTGTGCTTATTTTTAAATTGCTGGCGTTGAACTGTTCACCGCAGCGGAAGAAGTCGCGTATATAACGTTGGGTTGATAAGAATGGCGACAACAATGACGCTGAAAATACAAACAAACACCGACACATGTACAACACTTGGAGTCTGTAAACGTTGTTATTTTCTCCACCCTTTATTTAGGAATTCCGAAAACATGAATTTAATGAATTCGTACACATACATATGTATGTATATAATTTTCTACGCCGTACAGAAAACTGCTATGAACGTAAACCTAAATCCCATTGCGATAACATATTGGTGAGATATTTCGAGTATCCGCCCTACGATTTATTAATTTGTTTGGATTCCCTAGGTGGCGCTGAAGGGATTATTACTAAGAAAAAGTGTATTTCTAACCCGATTTATAGCATGGTAGCTAAAGAGAAATATGCTGTGAAAATAGATCGACAACTGGGCGCTAGAAACGGGATACTTCACCATAGCGTAATACAATCATATGTACATATGTAGTTTAAAACAAGGAATGAAACCGATTCAAAATAATCTTCGGGTTTCGTTTTCGGTTTTGCAAAGTGCTTCGGTTTTGGTTTCGTTCTTCAAAATTTGTTTCGGTTTCGGTTTCGTTCCGATTTCGGTTTTGACAGAAAAAAATGTATTAAAAATATATGTACCTTCCAAGGTTTGTTTTTGGCGAAATTAAACATTGTGATTAATTTTAATTTATATAAAGAAAACACCTCTGAAACAATTATACAAACTAATAACCATACTCCACCACATCTGCTTAGATCCAAATGCAGAAATTTGTTTAGTATATTTTTTGTTATATAATTAGCGTTGCTGCTGATGGGTATTTGATATAAATACATATAAGTAAGTGCGATTTTCACAGAAATTTTGTTGAAATTATAATATAATAATAATCCTTTGCTTAAAAAGAGTCACATCTTACTCGCAAAAGCTAATAAATTTATTTAAATATTTGTAGCCCATAAAATTCATTAGTTCTTATCAATGAAATCGAATCCACTACATTACTTCTTAAATTGGCTCTCGCAGGTGGCATAACGAATTTTGAGCCAGAAAACAACCTTTCAACACTGACTTGCGTTGCAGGAACAGCTAAAACTATTTTAGCTAACTGAGCCAAGTGCGGTTTCCGCAAAGACTCATTTTTCCAATATGAATTGTAGAACATCAATACTTCGTTCTTGCCGTCTTTGATTGCCAAAGGCCACTAAGAGAGGACGGATAATTTCAGAACTTTTCGGTCCACTGCAGGGAAGCCAACTCGGGGAATTTAGGTTTGCGTGGGGAATCGGGGAATGGACCGTTTTTTGTGGGGAATTTAAAACGCTGTGACATAAGCAGCTATGTACCTATTATTTTAGGTTTTTATTGCTTTTGAATTGACAACAACCGTATAAATATAAGTTTCAAACTTTGTACAATATTTAAAAAAAAAACTAATTCAACGAACTTTCCTTAAAATTTCGAGCTTTATAATTAGATTTTTTATAAAGATTTTGAGTATGCAGTTTTGTAGCTTGTTCAATTCTAGTATAACAAGGTCTCAAATGGCTAAAAATTACCGTTAATTTTTTATAATTTTCTTTGTCGCATCGGTTTCATTTAACGAATAAACACAATTTATTTTTATATGGAAGAAAACCGCTAAACCTTCGGTTAAAAATTCTAAAACCAAAAATTTTAGCCACTTGAAACTTGCACTTTATTGCACTAGAATTGAGTGGGCAACAAAACCCCACACTCTACATCTTGCTCGAAATTCTTACGAAAGTACGTTGACTTTGTTTTTTTTAAATATTGCACAAAGTTTGAAACTTACAGCCTTATTCTGTATCACGAACGATAGGCTACACGAACGATTCGTCTGCGTACAACATCTCTGATTGTGATTTTATTGCTTTTCATATATTACGTTGAAATGGGCCAAGTTGCATTTAAACCGGCAAGAATGATGCCGCCGGAATAATATTTGAAGCATTTCTCTGCACACGAATCGTTCCTGTTACCTATCGTTCGTGATGCAGAATAAGGCTGTTAGATTTATACGGTTTTTGGTTAAAGATGACCTATACTTTTATAAAAAATGACTCAAATTAAATAACAAAAATAAATAATAATAGTTGTGAAAACTTATCGAAATTTGGCGCGACTAAAATTTTTTCGACCACTGTTATATTACTATGTTAATATTATATGTATATTTTTTATTCTATATTTGTTAACTAACTTTATAAATCTTTGGTTTGGTTTATGAATACATAGATGAATTATATTTCAAAATAAAATAAACAGAAAGACCAGTAATATATCAAAATACATACCTAAATTTTTTGTTTTTGTAAATAAGGGCAAACGGCACAGTTATGCTACTGAAAAAAAAATTTTGGTTGCTAAATCCTGCAGCTGAATTTTATAAATTTCTGTGCTTGATAACGGTTACGGTTTCGGTTATAAAAAACGAAACGGCTTTAAACGGTTACTGTTTCGGTTTCGATTTCATTCCTTGGTTTAAAATACTCAGTATAACTTGCCCAGTAGGGCTTGGGAGCATCGTACGATTGTCCCGTGAGTACTTCCCATTGCTCCCTAAGCTTCTGTGTATAATAGGGTGGTCCAAAAAGAGTTAAGTCGGAATGTTAATGCTCTCACCCCCTAGGATTGTTCTATAGCGAAAAAAAGTATAGCCCAATTGTTTTATTTTGAAATCAAAAAAATATTTAGAGGTCGCTTAAAGCGCTCAAAGTTTTCCATGTTTTTCATTTTATATTTTTTTAATATTGATTTTCAAAAATTATATGCCATTTCTACGAAAACCACTTTCTCGATCGGAAAACTCAAGTTCTCTTCAGGAGACCTTCAACAGTAATAGCCAATTGTTTATTTAACCATTTTTTTAATTCTAACTATTTTTTACTGGTCCCCCCATTGCATTTTTCGGTGTTTTTGGCGGACCTATAAATTATAGTTACTATGAAAAATGGTTAAATAAACAATTGTATATTATTATTGGGAATCTCCTGCAGAGAAACGGGGTTTTCCGATCGAAAAATATTGATTTTTAACTCTCTCAGTACAAAAAATCAGCCGCTCAAGCTAAAAATCTGAAAATTTGTTTACCGGAAACTTAAGTGTACTATATTACATATTCGAAATTGTATGCATAGTATTTATTTACATGTATTTATCTATTCTAATATGCAAAATTCGCCAACAAATCCAAAGAACACCTTTAACTTTTTTCTGAGTCGGCGACAAAGCACGATTTAAAGAGAAATTTGCATTGCACAATACCTGCCAGATTCATGTGTAGGTATGTAAGCAAAATCGCATTATAAAAGCAAAACGAGCGTCCATCACGCTTATGCGATTAGGAATTCCTAATAAAATATTTACAAACAAAATCGCATATACACTCATACGGTATAAACATATCAGTGTGACCACTTTGTGAGTAATTGCTCAAAACGTGTAGAATTTCGAGTGCGCTTGAGTATTTTTTGAGGATTTTTATTTTGAGGAATTTTCTCTCGATATAACAAAATGCAAACATGTTTTTCTGAACAGAGTTGTTAAATCGCTCTGCAAATTTTTGAGCAAAAAGCTTTTTGGAGTTTTATAAAGAGCGAAATACACCACACATGCGGCTTGTCAAGCATTCTTCAAACCTACTTTTGCCATTTCGCCATATACCATGCAAACATGACTCGTTGAAGTAAAGAATTATAGTTTTCTTCCGGGTCACAATGTAAAAGAGTTTGGTTTTCTTCGGTTTTTCTCTCTTGTGCCGTCATTCTGTTGTGAATGAGGTAATTTTACCATACATAGCTTAAGCGGTTTGATCAAACGTCCCTATGGCGGCCAGAAAATCAAAAAATTTTAATTTTTGTTCACATTTACTTCAAACGGCTTGTAAAACCATCAAATACCCCCATACACAACATAAATAGCTTTAAATCTGCATTTGATGCTAAATATTCAAAATGTTATCGATAATTTTTTTCATTCCATCGTTATATTTTGAAACTATTTTGAACTTGCAAAATCTCGATTACGAATGGAGAGAACACGCATTTTTCGAACATAAGAATATTAAAAAAAAATCATGAAATTTTCCTATCATTTTCTATACGAAAATTTCAAATTTTCGATTCGTACGAAATCCAGAATATGGCACATTGATTCT